TCGTCGGCTACCAGACCGTCCTGTTGATGCGGTTCCCGTGGTCCGCCGTCATGCTCACACACCTAAGTATCCACCGGCAGTCAAAGCCATGCCAGCTTGCAGACCATCCGGTCTGTCCTATGAACGGTGACGGAACAACAGCGACAAAAGTACCTCAGCGTTTGCTTCGTTCATGCTTGCATGCACCGTGTCTCTGTCATGCCGCAGCATTATCGCTTTGCAGCTTTGCGTGAGTTGCCCTTGTGGTTTGATTGGTTGCCATGCAGTTGTCAGCTGAGTTTGTGAACAACCTGGTGGCTGTGCTCAATGTTCTTGCATCCCAAGTTGCGACAGCTTTGGACACACTGAACTTGGCCTTGATGACGGAGCGTGGTCGTCCGACAGACACGGTGGTGACCCCGAGAGCACCAAGAAACTCCAGACATGGGTTGCGGCCCCGCATCATCACGGAGCTCGCCTCCTCTGACCGATCTCGATCCCCCACACGCATTCGGGCTCGACCGGTGGACACGTCATCTACCTGGTACATACCGGCTTTGTCCCCGCCTCGAGCCGCACATCGTGATGCCAGTGAACACAATTCTGGTACTCGGCCCGAATCGGTGTTAGATCGACTGCCACCGCCTCGTCCTCGTGCTCCTTTCGCGGCACACGGTGGACGAGAACCAGGACAGACGACGCCCACGACACCTGATTCGGATTCTGATGGTTCGATACATCCGCATCCAGGTGCCTCGTCGTTCCGGCCGTCGCCGACGGTGGTTCATGGTCCTCGGGAACTTCTACAAGAATTTACCATTGCACTTCGCAATGCATACCGTGAACCTTTCACGGCATGGACACAGGGCGAGCTGGATGAAATGGTGAGACGGAAGAAAGATAAGGATTCCAGACCCACCTATAAGACCATTGCGCGGTCTCTTCAGAAGCCGATTGAGGAAGTTAAGCAGGCATGGAAGGTCTATCAACAACTTGAGGCTCGCGGCTAGGAACAAGCCCGGCAAATGCAGCAGCGATCATTGATGGACCAAATGATAAGCGGCGGCGGTGTGTCTAGTTTGAGTTGTTGATCACATGATGCTTGCTTGCTTGCACGTGACTCAATCTTGCTTGTCGTGTTGCGAGATGTCGTTGACATGCAGTGATGTCTTTCCTGAGTTGCTCAAATCATGTCAGAACAAGTTGTACAGACGTACATTACCTGGACCCATGGAGCGCAGCCGACGTGGTTACAATTTCATGGACCCGGGGCTCTACTCGACAGACCCATTCGGCTGACTACGTCGCCTCCGCCCCCGCCAAGTTTGCCACTGCTTCTTCCACCTCCTCCTCCACCACCACCACCACCACCGGTGATTCTACACCCCCAGTTTATGCCCTCGGTACGCAGCCCCTCGATCTCAGCCCCTCGCGGACAATCCTGCCCTACCTCTTTGAAATCGCAGCGCACACGCCGCTCGATCTACAGCACTGACCCTTCCCGTGATGAAGTACCACGCAGTCCAGGGCGCTCGTCCAAAAGATCTCGGACAGCATCAGCTTCAGCGCCGCGGCGATCTCGACGGCCCTTTACAGTGTTTTATTCCAAACGTGCTGGCCGTTCATCGCGATCCCCATCGGCAACATGCAAACATTACTGCCACGCCATCCTGCGCCATGGACGGAAATGTCTTTCCCCTTGTGCACGTAGACGACCAGGTCACTATCATTGCAGGTGTGCGCGACATCAAAGACAGTGAAAGCCAGGTGTCAGACATTTCAGACCTCGTTGACCCGTTTCACCTTGTGTTTGAAAAGTTGCCTCGCTCCTCAGTGGATGTGTCCGGTTGGCAATGCATGTGCGTCCTTGCCGCAGATTTTCGATTGGTTTAGCAGTCGTGCAAGCCCGTATTGCTGCTATGAACCCCCAGTATTTCGAGTACCAGATCGATAGAGGAGTGGAATGGATTCGAATTTACTCTCCGGGTATTTGGAGGCCCGTTCCTGAGGAGGCGCCAGTTCCGGACCCACTTTACGCTTCCACATTTCGGGAGTGGCGCAGATCATATCACTTCCAAGTGTACTGGTCTGAAGACAGCACCGGAGGCACCACAATGGATCCTATTGCCACGCCCAGTTCCTATGTGTCCTATCACGTGTGGGAGTACCGAGACTGGCAAACGCGAGGGTACCAACGACTTGGACCTCCTGTCCAATCCATCGGACTCGCGATGCTCGCCAACGCAGACATCGAGTCCTCGGTGAGCTCGTCGGTACCTGATGGAGCGTGGCGGGAACCGTCACCGCCACCATTCCATGATCCTTGGAATAATTCGGATTGACACTTGAGTAGCATGTTGGATAAAGATGAGGTTGTGCGTGCTTTGTATGTGAGTTCTCATTGGGTTGTCTTGCTTGGTGCTGTGCATGTTGTCTCCATGTGTCCGCCGCTCTCTGTGATAACTTTGATCAGCTTGTCGGGTTGAAATGTTCAATAGTACGGTGCAGGGTGCAGCACGATGGGTCCTACCTCGCTATTTTGACTATGACATCGTCAATGGACCAGCAGGAACGAGGGTGGAATGGATTCGAATCTATGTGCCGGGTCAGTGGCATCCAGTAGCCCCTGACACCCTGGGACCGGCCCCGGATGACCCGACCGCCTATCGGGAATGGCGCAAGGTCTACCACTTCGAAGTGTACTGGCCCAGGGAAAGCACTGGCGGCACAACTATAGGCACGGCTCTGCAACCGGTATCCCACGCCACTTTCCACACTTGGTGTTACAGGGACTGGGTCACCAGGGGGTACCAACGCCTGGGTCGTCCACATCCCAGCATAGCGAGGCCAGTTTTCGCTTCGGGTGCACCGGACCTCATGTATGCTGGAATGACCTCCTCTTCGGCATCATCTAATTCACATGACAGCTGATGCCCGTCCTCGCCTCCCTGGAGAGTCTGACTGTGATGTTGGCGCCGCACAGTGCTACAAAAGTGGTCTTTTGCGTTTTGATAGTTGATTTGCTTTCACTCGTGGTTGTCTGCAGCCGTACACCTATCAACTTGACTTTCCGTGGTTGCGTTGTCATGCCGTGGCTGGAATGGTGCCCGGACCCTCAACAACCTGATGCCCAGTGGGTCAAGATCTTTCATCCGGGACCATGGACGCCTCAAGAAGAACATGATGCTCCACCTCCTCCGCATACTTTCAGAGAATGGCGGGAGTTCTATGCTCCCAACCAGGACTCAGTCGAAGGGCAAGTCCAAGTCACTACGTGGTACAAGCGAGACTGGGCCACGGAGGAGGGCTATCGGAGAATCGCTGCTCCTCACGCTGGTCATGAATTTGATTCCATGTATCCCTCCGATCACCATAACGTGGCCACGCAGTCCGCGGCATTGAGTATGTCGCCGGAGCTGTTAGACGCGATTCTCAGGTCCTCGGATGCGGCTGATTTCTCCACTGAAGAACTGATTCGTCTCCAGGAGGGGATTTCTCAACAACTGACGGCCCGCGCACGTCTGACCTCCCATCCTCATCAACCAGTACGTGCATCGCGTGGCAACACACCATCGGAGACGATTGGGGTCTCCGACCCCTACACGCCCGTGAATCCGTCCGGCAGCGGCCAAGACAAGATGAGGCCCGTCTTCGAGCTCACTGAAGACTAGCCTTGCATGAGCAGCGCAGCGTACAAAATAAGGGTGGCCTCTACACTTGCATGATCTTGCTTTGCTGTTGTTTGAACATGGTTGTGCATGGTGCTTGTTCGCCTACTAGCTGAATCGGAGCCCGCGACCATCCTTGCCTCTTGCCTCGACATGGACATCGATGATTCCAAGCAGTATCCATGGCTCGAATATTCGGTCTGGCATGATCAGGAGTGGGTGCGGATTTACACTCCGGGACAACCTCAACGATGGCACCGTGGTGACGCCGTACCTGATCTACCTGAAAACTCTTTTCGTGAATGGCAGCGGGTGACGGATCCCGAAGCGCCAGTCCAGGCATGGGACATCCGTGACTGGCAACACCAAGGGTACCAGCGCATTCTGTCTCGGATTGAGTCCTTCGCGACTCACTATTCACATGATCAGACTCTTGGTCAAGGTCGGAACTCCGATGCCGTTCAAGTTGAGGAGACCTTCACCTATGCCACTCCGTTTTCTCATGGTGATCGCCCGGCTGCTTCGCAGATCGCTTCAGTCCTCTATGGCGACACTCGCAATGCTCAACGTTGTGATCTTTCGTTCCCGTCTTCTGAGCGGTTTAGGGCAGTGTCTCGCTCCCCTCGCCGTGGTGGATATTTTGGTCAACGATAGTGATTTGAGTTTGAGCATGTGATCTTCCTGCAGGAGAAAAGAGAAACCTCGCCCCTCGTAGAGGGGCGTGTGTGTGCGGAGTGACAGAATGCCCTGTCACCACCCTTTCGGTTTCGCAGCAGGGGCGTGCAGCACCTTTGGCATACTGCACGCAATGAAGCTGTTGCCAAAGGTGGGAAGGGTGTCCAGACGTGGACACCTGTACCTGCTTCAGTGATTCTGAAAGTCCTTTTGGCCCCTTGGTTGCGGCGCTGTTTGTGCTTCTTGTTCTTTCTGGTAACGTTTTCGACACTAGAGGGAAGCCGAATACATTGCGAGCCGAAACTCATCATACTCGAGACTTGTCGGTTGTACTCAAGACTCATCAGTTGTACTCGAAAGATTAGCACTCTCCATCTGGAGTTCAAGTGTGTGTGTGTGTGTGTGTGTGCGCGCGCGCGCGTGTGTGTGTGTGTGTGTGTGTGTGTGTGTGTGTGTGTGTGTGTGTGTGTGTGTGTGTGTGTGTGTGTGTGTGTGTGTGTGTGTGTGTGTGCTTGCATTGTGTGCGGGCCATTGCGTGTCCATTCAGCAGCACAGCTTTGTTGACCGCTAGCTCCCCGGTGACACGTAGTATCAAGCAGTTGGCCTTCTGTGCTGGCTTTGCAAGGGCTTGGGTCCCAACATGAGCTCTGATTGCATGTCAAGGGCCCTGCATCCGAGGACATGAAGCGGGCCTGCATCATTTGCCTCACCGAGAAGGACCAACACAGACAGCCCTTCACTTGTCATGAGGTGTCTTCGTGTCTTCGGGTCCTTGCACGCGACAGTGGGTCTGAAGGAGCACACGCTCGTGCCGCCCCATACGCCGCGGGAGATTTCAGCGCAAACTCCTGTGCCCTGGCCAGTGGTGAGATGTTGTGCTGAACGCATCCTTCAGGCAATTTGTGTTATTTGATATTCCTGATCCCGGGGTCAGCCTCAAGGCTCAATCCTCTGTTGAAGATCATCGCTTCTGCACGGACTGCTGGGAGGAGCCATGCATCACTTGCTCTCTTCTTATTGCCTCTCCGGTTTCCAAGCGCGCGTGATCAGCCCGCGCGCTGTCTGACTGACAGGTGCTGAGGTGCTGATTCTTTTTCAGGCTGCGAATTCCGCGGCACAGCCAAAGTTATCACCCTTTGCTGTGCTTATAGGACAACCAAAGCACATTTCTTTGTGTGTCCGGTTTCTTGGAGGATCCGTTTCACATTGGCACTGCGGGAATCTCCCATTCATAACCAACAGGGTTTGCGCCAGGGAGAGTTGAGCTGCCTGGCACGGCAGATTGAGCCTGGCATTTGTCAGGACTTCCTTCGGCACGCGCGGCGTGCAAAGCTGAGCTCCATGATTTGCCCGGTCTGTCGCGGCGAGATTTCCGTCCCGGAGGCGGAAGCTGGGCACTGGGCACCGGATGGAAGAACCAGTCACTGTAAGATATGTATGATGTGACGACAGGCTTCCATGAGTAACCTTGGGCAGCAGGATGCCAATGTTGATATAATTGGACCAAGTTGCCCCGACGGGCTTAGCCGGGTGACGGGCTTGCGAACCCGCGGCGCAAGGTTTGGAGCAAGCGGCTTGAACTGCCGCAGCGCTGGGCGCAAGAAGAGGACGACGGCTCGAGAGTGAGCCCCGAAGGAAGTGTTCCCTTTTCCAACGAAGCTGGAGCTATGCCAGGAGCCAGAGAGCGCTCCTTTGCCGCTGCCAGTGGTGTCTGTGCCCCACTTTGACTCGCGGTGGCTTTGGAGGTGGGCAAAGGGGAAATCAATTGTGCCTCAATGAGGTGGTTTTGCATGCGACTGAAGCAAGTGACTTCTTTGAGGATGTCCTTCCTGTGTGTGTGTGTGTGCGCCGGTTGACATGTTCCCCAGCATGGCGAAATGCTCTTCAGCAACGGCACTTAGGCTTCCCTATCACACAAGTACGAAGTGGGCAGAGCAAGTTGCGCAGTTCATGTGCAGAACAACTACGCAATATCTTGCGCCGAGTATGCTCACACACTTGTACCTACTTGCGAAGAGGGCGCTTAAAACACGAACGGATTTTGACAAGCTTACTAGCAAAAGACAAGTATCGTTTCAACGTGGTTCGCGCCTTCGATGCACACCCGCGCACGCAAACACCACACAAACACAAACGCAGACACATTTCGCATACACACACAGACAAACACAGACAGACAACAGACACACACGCACAGACAGACACACGCAGACAGACACACACACAGAGAGACACACACACAGACAGACACAGACAGACAGACACACACGGACAGACACAGACAGACAGACACCGACACAGACCGGCACAGACACAGACACAGACACAGATATAGACACAGACACAGACACAGACACAGACACAGGCACAGACAGACAGACACACAGACACACAGACACACAGACACACAGAGACACAGACACACAGACACACACACACACAAACACACCCCACACATACATACGCACACGCACACACTCCACAAGCACATCACACACACACACACACAAGCACACCGCACACACATGCACACACACACACAAACACACAAGCACACAAGCACACAAACACACAAACACACAAACACACAAACACACAAACACACAAACACACCACACACATATGCACACGCACACACTTCACAAGCACATCACGCACACACACGCACACACACACACACACAAACCACACACACACACACACACCGTAAACATATTAGCACGCAGCGCGCACACACAGAAGCATCATAGCAAGTTGTCTTTTTTCAGGTATGTTGTTTTGCCTTTAGGCTTGAGTCAGGCTAAGTGGCTGTTGTCCCATAAATGACTGGCAGTTGCTGTGCGGCTCTAATTTGTGCCACATCTGGCTAAGTGTGTTGAGGGGACACGCAGTTTAGCGCCATGCAAGTTGAAGGGTTAGCAAATAGTCAAGCATGGTCACACACACACAGACACTTTACAACAATTCACTGCCCCCTTTGCAAGCGCATGGGTGTGGAGCACAGGCTTTCGGCAAAAATCAAACCAATTCTTCGTATTTTTGTTGCACACAGTTTACATAATTTCATGAACTTGGATGCAGAACCGGACACCTGACCCACACAAAAGGCAAATCGCAGGCATGTTGAGCACACAGTCAGTATTAGGTGGATGCAAGATAAGGCAATGTTAATAGTAGCCAAGTATTATTGTCACGCATGCACACAGTGACACAGCAAATCACAGACCTGACCTGACCTGACCTGCGCAACAACAAAGACACAGATTGATGAAGCGTTTCAGCAAGCAAGCATTCGGGCATCATGTCGGGCAGCAGCAGCCGTGGCAGCAGCCGTGGCAGCAGCCGTGGCAGCGGCGGCCGTGGCAGCCGCGTCAGCGGCTCCAGCTGGTCCAGCCGCAGCGGCAGTGACGGTGGCAGCGGCAGCAGCAGTGACAGTGGCCGCACTTCCAGCCCAGAAGCAAGCTACAGCAACAGCAGCAGCAGTAGCAGCAACAGCTCCGAGAGCGCACAGATAGCAAGCACCAGGCAAACACTACTCAGCAAAGAGCAAAAAACACTCTTGGAAACAACAACGTTCTTCAAGACAAAGCAGGTGGCGCATTTGGCCGCGGCGCTTTCCAACCACAGTGTGCCGATAATGAGTGATTGCAGCGGGCTGGAGACGCCGGTTCTAGCTTTGCAGTCGCTGCTTGGGGATGCCGTGAAGCATCTGCGCCTTGCCTAAAGTTAGCGGTGGGATCATGCAATTGGAGCGCCGCATGTAACATGCATTGCAGTACTCTTATCAGGTCCAGCTGCGATTCAGCAAGGGGCCCACAGCGCTGGATCAAAACCAACTTTGCGCCCAAAACGCCGCTTGACCTTCTTGGTGATTATGCATCCCCTACCATGACTTGTGTGAGAGTAGTGCATGACCGGGGACTGTTAGCCGATTCGGATCGCTAGGTATTTCAAGAACCTTTTCAACCGCCGGGTAGGCCACCTACGCGACCAGGCAAGTTCAAATCTCGACGCTTGTGGTTTCAGTCAGCTGCTCACCCATTGGACCACTGGATTTTCAATCATCCCCCGGCCCGCTTATTATTTGGCAAAATATGGTGTTTCAATACCCGCATTAATTGCTAGAATTTGGGTTCGCAGAAATCAACATTGATGGGTGTCTCAATGGGTTCACGTTCCATCCATTTGCCACCCACTCAGCGCACATTGTTTTCACTTCAGCCCTGCGCCGCAGGTACTTGTCTACAGCGCCGGATTCCCGTGCAAGGCGTTCAGCGCCTTGCGGCACCGCTCGAAAGGCATGCGGGACTCTGAGGCTAAGCAATTCTTCAAGGTTGCCAAAACAATCAAGGATGTCCAACCAGCGGCCCCGCGTTTGCATTTTGCCTTGCCTTGGGGATTCGTTTAGTTTAAATGTTTGAGAGGGAAGCATGGCCTCCAGGCCGGGAAATCATCCTATCAATAAGCACCCTTAGGCCTGCCAAATTAATGGTTTGCGGCAAACTCAAAACATGGCCTTGACATGCCTCAACCTCCACGCTAGTAACGCTTTCAGTGTCCACCTCGTTAAAGCCCTTGCTCACGCTTAGATTATTCTGCTCGAGAATGTGCTTGGCCTGAAGAAGCACATGAAGAAAGTCAATCGCCAGTTGGAGCGGTGCGGGCGGTACGCGATCCATTGGGCAACGGTGGACCCGTGACTTTGTTGCGATTTGGTTGAGGGCCCTGCAACCTACTGTGACCCTGCCCACTGACCAGTGACCTGAGAATTGAACAATCACAGTTGGGGGCCCAACAACAGAGATCTGCGTCCGCCCAGGGCCGACTTTGGCGGCTACACCAGCCGCAGGCGCTTGTACATTTTCATGGCCAAAAGCAACCTGGTAAGTGAGTTTGCAGCCACAATCGAGAAGACTTTGAAGGGAATGAGGCACTCGCAACATGGCAGCTGGAGCCTTGTCCTCAACATGAAACCAGTTATTGATATGACCACGGGATTTTCTGTTGGATGCCCGGTAGTTGAAGACTGATCCATGATCAATGCGTAATGCAATGAGCGCCAACCGCCAACCATCTGAAGGTGATCAATTTAAGAGCAGTCAAGTAAGGAAGAGCATGCTGCTGCCCGACAACTCTGCGGAGGTGGAGCGGTCCAACGAGAAGAGGCGCAGGCGCAGCGCGCGGAAACCTAAAGCTGGAGCTTGCAAGTGGAAGAAGAAATTCAAAACGCATCCTGGTGGCAGTAATGCTGTGGACTGTGGGCCCTTTGATGCTTGGATTGTTGTGTTCGCAGGTACCTGCAAGAGCATAAAGATGAGCCAATCCGTGGGAGAGCGCAAAGAACCATCGGATCTGGCATTCAGTTTGTCCAACACAACGAAAGAATGCTGGCTGCCCCTTGGACGAACAGGATCTTTCAAAAAGGGTAGATCAACAAAAACACCAAGCAAAAGCACCGCTCAGTCGCTGGACGTCGCCAGCCACAAGCATCCGAATTGGGAGGTGGTGGACCTTTCACAGTCAGTGGACAGAATGCCAGTGGTGCTGCCTGGTCAGTGTCTTGCCTGCGGTCAACTTGGACCTTGATTTGATTTTTGCAGTTGAACATTGTGCCCCAGGCACTTTTGCTGCATTACGTTCGGCTCCTACAGCTTCTGTCAACTTGTCACAGCACGTCAAAGTGGTTCACACAATTCCTGACTCCCTGATAAGTTGAATATCCCACGCTGGACTGAGGCCCGGAGGCGCATACTTCTTGAAATGCCGCCAGCGGTTTTTGTGCAGCCGCTTGTCGCTAGTTACATTGAAGTCCTGAAGTCGATCGCTCGTCGCGCAAACTGGCCCAGGTGAGGAGAAGATTTTGTTGATGGGGCTGCCGCTCCACAAGCTGGACAGCAGCCACAACAGCGCCCATGACGCTTGCCACATATTGGGCGAAGGGGGGCGGGGGAAGGCAGCAAAGAATGACTTTGCCACATGCCAAACATTTACCAACTAATGCGCAATTCAGGTTTCGGCGTGTAAAAGGATCTTAGTGAAGGAGCTCCAAGCCCGCCTTGAAACAATCCTGGACATTCCAAGCTTGCCCTTTCCCCTTTTGTCTTGACATTGAGGGTCCATACCACTGCAAACATGTTCTCGGTTTAGTAGGCTGCCAAACCCGAGCAGGATACAACATGACGGCCTCAGATCTGTTCTTCAGTTACTGTGTGACAATGTTCCAAGCTTACAGTTACAGCAACTTACAGCTTGATGGTTGATGACACACCGCCGAACCTTATTATTCAAATGTTCGTTTAGTATCTGCCCCTTGACCTTGACCCTACCTAGCCTGTTGACCATTTCCAGCTCCAACTGCCAAGAGATCAAGCTTTTGATTTAGAATCCACATTCAATGTGACTACTGCTTCACAGCGCCCCAGCCCGCCTTGCTTTTGGGTCAACAGTCATGCTGCATGCCGAAGATTTAGCTGTCAAGGCCATTTGGGTTAGCTCAACATTCCCCTACTAATTTATTATGTTTGTCCAACATGTTGTCGTGATAACAGCCATGACATGGAAGAGCTTTTGGATGTATGTAGGTCCAGGCATGTAAGCTATGAACTTTGACCACCTCACTCAAAGTCTTGAAGCGAGTTTCTGTACCAATGATGGCTCTCGTCTTTCTTCGTTAGTGTCAGTACTTGTTAGGCTGCCCCTCTCAAACAATTCAATGCTACTTTCAGGGCTTTGCGAAAAGGGTTTG